GCAGATCGCACTGCACAGCTGTGGTTGCAGAAAATTCGCGAGTCGCAATCCCCCGAAGCGTCTGAATCTTATATACTTGGCAAATGGTGGGTTTATCCAGGAGGCACGGGCGAGGGAGAAATTCATATACTAAATTTTGATCCTTATCCGTCTGGTAGAGGTCGCGCAACAATCGAAAGCAAAGCGGAAGCAAGATTTCCTCATTGCTTTCTCGCCAGTGAGTTTGCCTATCAGTCTTGTTTTCATGTTTTATTTGACCCATCTGCCCATCGTATTTGCTAATCTACGTTCTCCAGATCATTGCCGATGCGACTGCGGTCGCATTTAAGGGAGCTTCTAATGATATCCAACGAAAGCTGAGGCGCGTAATCGAGGTTTGGCGACAACGGAATATCTTCGAAGAACCTATTCAGCAGGCTGTAGAGGCTCGAGTTGATGGTTTGTCACTGCCGAATCACCGGAATTCCCCCAAACACGGCCAACCGAGCTAACTCTTTGTTCTAGAGGTGGACAAATCTAAATCATCGGGTAAAAAGCCATTGCTAGGAGGCTCACTATTCGCTAGCTCGCCGGGATCCATTCCATCTGAGTTACAACCTCTAGCTCCGCTGCAAACCGCTGTTTCCAAGGCCACAGTCTCCTCATCTGCCGCCGTTACGGCTGCCAATACCGAATATGACAAAATGAACGACCCGTCGGCCCAGGTCCCAACACCGCCCGTTCACGCTGCCCGTCTCAGCCAACTTCTTAAGTCCCTTGCGAATGCAGAAAGTTCGGTTTCCGAAATTATCAAGTCACGCCAGTGTTTGATCCAAGGGCTTGAGAAGCTTCTCGACACGAACCGCGCTGCGTTAACCAAGGAACAGGCACTGGTTGAGCAATTGGCGGCACGCAAAATGGAAACAGAGGGTAAGAAGCGGGACGTCGAAGATGCCATCATGCGCGGCTTATCCGTGGAGGATTCCTCGATGTTGCGGGCAGTTGGCAGTGCGAATGATACCGGCAATACTGAATCGACAACGCCAAGTCAGCTAGGTGAAGAGCCTGAGCGCCCCGTCATCGAGGCTCTGACACCTCCACCTGTTGAAGACCTCACACCAACCGGCTCCCCTACTCAAATCCAACCACCAGGGGGTGAGGAATATCACAACAATCAGCATCAGCATCAATACCAACATCAGCCCACTGCAGGGATTGGTGTTTCCACCCATTCAGGTCAACCGGAGCTTCCTCAACATCAATACCCCTCAGAAACCCCGATCCTCCCGCAGCAAGCACCTGCGGATGGTCAGGTTACAACAACGTCAATCACTCCCACCACTATAGATCTAACATCTACGCTCGCAGCCCTACATGGACATGGACAGCAGCTGTCACGGGAGAACCCCGCAAATGCAAACATCAACGTGGGCGCGAACACGAATGGATCGAGCGTGAAGAAGCGCAAAGTTTCTCATCCGCTTGTGCATGCGCAGCAGGATGAATACCCGGGCTTTTCTGCTGAAGGAGACGTTATGGCGGAGTTGGATGATGACGTTGCGGAGTTGTTGAGGCAGGAGAGTAATAAATATTAGCGGTATAGGGCGTATTGCATTGTATCGTACCCTGGCAATTAGGGGATTCCAAGGTAAACGCTGAAGGCGAGGCGCTATTATCGACTGGGCGAATCGATGGAACGCGGTGTCCCCTTAGGACTCTCATTTTACAATGGCTTTTATTTGGCTTCCTTTATGTGTCCTTGGTTACCTTAGCTCGCATTCTATCGGAATATATCAAATAAAGGGACATCAAGCATTTCAGGGCCTTTGTTAGTTTACTTTCTGTTTGCCGACTCCGGAGGGAGGGGAGGGGGTGGGGGGGTGCCCCCGTACGCCTCCGTCTATGTCTTTTCCAACCTTATTCCCCTTTACCCATAGTTCTACAGGTATAATGGCTCACGCTTTTCGTCATACATATGTGCATTGAAAATTTCCCTTTGTGTATTTCAGGGTACTCCGCGTAATGTCGGTTGTACCTGGGTAATAGGGGTTCATGGGGGGAAGTAGCCAGGTGGAAAATTAAACTTCGCAAGTATTCAACCTTCAAATGAAGATGTGACCCGAATCGAAATATTCTAGCTATTTTGTATTATATGCACAGCGCCTCTCCACATGCACATGACACAACACAACATAGATTGGGAACGGGGTAAAAGAAGACATAATGAGATAGTATACAAGAGGAGGAACCAAGAAACGGGCAGCTAATAAGTAAACCCGCGCTTTACGTCGTCGCGATATTTAATCTATTTTACATTATTGTCATTTGCTATTCAATTACATCTATTATATCCGGCGCAACGATCCAAGAATCCCTAGAGAACCGGCTCCTTCGCTGGCGGAATGAAGAAGGGAATGAGGAGAGGGAGGCTGACGAAGGTGATAATGAAGATAACGATGCAGGAAGTAAGAATGGGTCTGCGGATCTGGAACTATAGTCGTAGTGGAGTACCGCTTTGCGGTGTTGTTGTCTTCTTTGTTGGCGTTGCTGCGGGTGTGAAGCTGGGGGCTGCGGCGCTGGCGCTGGCGCTGAGCTACCGCTCCGTTTTGGTTTTACGAGGAGAATAATAAACATGCCGACCACGAGGAGAATTAGGAGGAGGAGTATTTTTCTTTTCATGCTGCGTCGTTGGTAGTTGGTTGCCTGGGGTTGTCGGGGATGGTTAGATTGACGAAAATGCCAATAGCAATTTATATGATCATCTGTTTTGAGAATGAAAGAGAGAGGAGGGCGAAGGAGGGAAAACGGGTGGTTCAGGGATAGAAGAAAGAGAAGACATACGATGTAAGATCTTTATCAGCCGCTTTCACATCGACCATCATGCGCTCGACATTGAAATCGATCCGGTCGAGCATTGTGCCCTGATCTATAATCATTGCTTGGAGATCGCGGAAGATATCAGAAAGTTCTATGATGCCGCGTGCAATGTCATTTATTTCGCGCTCGCGCTGGATGATCGCGGCATCGTTGCTAGTTACTCGTTTCTGGGACGTTTGGAGGAGGGTTGATTGTGAATAGGATTTGTCGGCATCTGACTCTATGAGGGATGGATCCATATAAGGGTTTTGAATGTGCATTGGGGCCAGCTCCAACGGTGTCGTCATTCCATCCAAACTTCGTAATTCTGCATTTGTGTAACAATAGTAAATTAGTTGGTCTGACCTGTGGTGTAGGGATACGGAAATCTTTCCCGTGAACGAGAGTGAGGGCATACTTTTCAAATATGTGCTCTGCTTCTTTCTAAAACCGGCGCTAGCTTCCTGGACTCTTGATGCAAGCGATATCTGGATATTCTTTGCCATCATCTCATCACTCTTGCTGACTCCCCCGTGCTGTTTCTGTTCTTTCACCATAGTCTCGATTCGCTGAATCGCGCGCTGGCAATCATGGAACGCTCGGGTGATCTCCTGAGTCAGCTGTTCTATTACGCCCTCCTCTTCCTTTCTAGCATCCTCGTCTTCGAACCCCGGCAAAACGTGCTTCTGGTGAAGCTTATCTAGGCGGGCTGACTTCTGCGCGATTCCTGATAAGAGCTCTGTTACATCGTCTTGTATATCGACCCAGCGTGGTGGAAGGAGATCCATTTCGATAACGGCGTCACCGTCGTCTTCGAGCCCAGCACCAGACATGAGTCCGCGCCGCTCTTCTGATGTTGACGAGGAATCTGCATGATCACTCCAAGCTCCGATGTATCGCGGCTTTTTCGTGGGGTGGTGGGCAAAGGATTGGCGGTAGGAGATATATCTGCCGGAGCAGAATTGTCAGAAAAGAGGCCAGCCACATTGGATGGCACAAGGAGCTTACAGGTTAGTGCGGTCCCGCCACATAGTTGGAGAGAAGACGGAGGGGTGGATGGAAGTCGAGAGTTGACGTAGGCACAAGTATGGACGGGAGAGGTTGGTTGTCTAACTGTAGCTGTTGTTCGTCACTGCGCACGACGTGAGGGGGTATCTTATCATGATGGAAAATGGCCACTAGACATTGCGCTTGAGTGGAAGGACATGAGAAGGAACTAGACAGACGGAAAGGCGCTGTATGAAGCCATCGAAAGCTGAAATGGGGGTCGATTGAAATCGACTGGCTGAAGACACCTCCGGATCCGGGGTTGGGAATGCACCAATGCGGACTAGCGCCATGGAGTCAACGCAGTAAAGTCAACCTTGCCAGGGCTTACACACTGTGAACATACAAGAGGATAATTCGACTAATATTCAGAAATAATTATATAGATGTATAAAACTAGGGTTAGTTGCCTTTCGCTAATTTATCTATACATCTACTGTTGTACCGTGGCTATTGCTTGGACTCTACCAGTTATTGTTCCTTTCCGGAATGAGAGTTTGTAGAAGGGACAAGAATGGTTGTGATAAAGCAAATAGTTATCTCGCTCATTAGGATAATAATTGTCTCCTCGATGTTAAAGTGGTGGATTGTGGGGAAGAATGTCTGGACTGGGAAGTCGAGGCCATCGACTTTGCTATAAGGAGCGGGCATTATTTTGTCGTGACGGGAGGAATAGATTATCTCTAAACTACTATGCAGGTTGCGTCTCTCTGTTTAGCTCGTTGCAACAATAAAGATTGTTCGAACGTAGCGCAGTTTTTTCGCAGACTCATTTGTCAACCTCGTGGTATTACCCAACGTATCGTAGGTAGTTTTGATACACGCCCGCCTGAGAAATGTTAGCCAAATATACGGAGTGTAATCAGGGTACATGTACAAGGTACGAGACACAAAAACACTTTGATTTACCTAAGACGATTTAAGCCGGTGTCGTCTTTGCCAAGCAATACAACGACCAGCTTCGTCCCGGCTTCCTAACGACAGCGTTCTGTTCTGCAAAAAGTTCCTGGTATATGACGGCTTCATTTACCGGTGAGTGAGTAGTCAACATTCACAATCATGGTAGGACACCAGGTCGCAGCATTTTGGTATAGCGGATTTCTTGGTCCATCAGGTGAAAATGAGCAAGCAATTCTTGTATTAAGAGAAAGATGGTGTATGATTAGCTTTCGTATGTAGCCTTAGCTTTTCGTCGAAAATTTGCTGGCTAAGAGTTGATTTAGTCGCTTTCGATCCTTTGGACTCCAATATTGGGATAGAGCGCAAAGAGCTCTGGCGCGGAGGGATAGTACATATCTTAGAGTGCCAGATTCCACTATCATGACTGGAAGGTTCACGGCACATATATTTGCTTGGAATTTCAAAAGCGCCGACAACACTATGGTCACAAAAAATCGATCGTCATGGCTATGTTCCGACGCGTCATGAGGCACATTCCGAAGATTGCAACTCCTGTGTTGGTTCAGAATTTAGGGCAGAGGCTTGACAACCGCAAGGAGGTAATTTTACGGAGGCCGCCAATTTCCGCGGCTTCATAGGAGTTTAACACTAAGGGTGTAGGTGCAACAAACGGTGTAAAAGTGAGTCTCAGATGCCATTCAGTTAAGCGTTTCTAGATAACAGGAAAACTTTTACCCAGGGACGCGCCGGGGCCGTTGGCGCAGAGAAGAGCAATATCACCAGGCAAAAATAACGTTTAATGAAGTTGAATGATGTTGGCTGAGGCTCTTTCCGTAACGAGCCTCACCTGGTGCCGGAGGGCTTGGCACCAACCCAAGCGAGTAGTGGGGGAAGTCACGTTGTCTGCAGGTCCACCACCTTGGGATCTTCCATACCGAGTGCTATATATATGAACCTCCTGCTTTCCAACATCTGCGATTCCCGCCAACTCTCCTGTCTGCTGCTTGACACCCTACGATATTTCATCCTATACTCTACGTCTATTGATCTACTTAGTTTTGAAATTTATCTGCACTATGGTACGTACTATCATGACCTGCCAGCGACATGCTCGCTCCCCAAACTACCCCTCCTTATCCGACCCATCGTAGATCTACCTTTCAAGGGGAAAAATCTCGCCCAGAAACTAACGTTTTATACCACATCTAGGCCGACTCTTTGACTGAAGAGCAAGTATCCGAGTACAAGGAGGCCTTCTCTTTATTCGTAAGTTGACTTCATTTTTGCCCCACACATAACGGGGTTACCACCCGCGCCTCAGGCAAGAACTAACATCAGCATTCATTTTACAGGATAAAGATGGCGATGGTGATTATTTCCACCTCCACTTGTTTCCAGAAGCTTAGAGAATAAGAGATGTAAAAAATCTATTGACTGGGACTAGAGCTAACCACTTGTTTGAATGAAACAGGGCAAATCACCACCAAAGAATTGGGAACAGTAATGCGGTCTCTGGGGCAAAACCCTTCCGAATCAGAACTACAGGACATGATCAATGAGGTTGATGCAGATAACAATGGAACCATTGACTTCCCGGGTATGGTGCCCAGTTATTTCTCAGATGCATTTGATGCTATCTGCAATGGCGCTGTGTCTAACCGCTTCTCCCTGTTTCACAGAGTTTTTGACTATGATGGCAAGGAAAATGAAGGATACCGATTCTGAAGAAGAAATTCGAGAAGCATTCAAAGTTTTCGATCGTGATAACAACGGTTTTATCTCTGCTGCCGAGTTACGCCATGTGATGACTTCGATTGGTGAGAAATTGACGGATGATGAGGTTGATGAGATGATTCGTGAGGCAGACCAGGATGGTGATGGACGAATCGACTGTGAGTTGGACACACTTATGGATATCCGATAGCACATACATGCAAATCTAATGACTAACCGGTCTTTCCGCACGAAAACCTTAGACAACGAATTTGTCCAACTCATGATGCAGAAATAGGCGCTGTTCAAACCCTGTTCCATTGAATCCTAGGCTACGAGCGGTTGATATTACGTTTTGCTACTGTGCAGCCCAACATTTGCTGTCATGTGTTCAGTCAAACTCTTACGGATTTCGAATGGTATCTATCTATAGTTCTTTCGGCATGGTGTCAATTTATAAGTACTGTACCAAGCGTGCCTCTTAGTGTGCGCACCTGATTGAATACACGCCGGGAAATGATAGAATGGAGCTTTGGAGTCGGAAAGAGAAAGCACACCATGAAAAATCAAAGCAGCAAGAAGGGCAAAAAAAGGAGGGGAAAAAATGAGAAAAACCAGAAAAAAAGAAGTTTCCCTGCCACTCAATTTTTTATTGTCATTATCACGTTTCGCTCTTTTTCATTTGGTTCTGTCTATAAGAAGCTTATATCCCTGCTTACCCTCTTTCCCCATTTCCACATATCTCCCCCTGGCTTTGTTTAGTGACCTTACAGATCCCTCCCAACGTCCTATGTGATTGAAGGTTCCGCCGTGCGGTAATCTGAACTGGCCTCATGAAATTTAACAATAGAAACAGCAAACGGCAATCAAACTTTGCAACTCCCATTTTTTGGTTGTATTTTTTAACTTTTATATTACTATTCTAGCCTCTCCAATCTAACTTCCATCATAATCGATGTCTCTTTGTTGACCTTATGCGAATGGCAGCCGCCACCACTTTGCCGTATTGTCTTCTGATATAGTGATCAAGATGGCTGAGAAATAAAGTTATCAAACGCTGATAACCGGCCTATACTACTTTATTTTTAGTTTTCCGTGGTTATATTTATAATATAACCAACCACCTATAGTACAGCACTATTCCTCAAATTTCCAGTACTTGATTCTTATTCTTACAAGCTCCCTCTTATAAATAGAAACTCTACCCCCGACGACAACCATCCATGAGAATAGAAGCTGGAAATTTAAGGTACGAAAAAAGTAGTACGAATTGGACTCCTCACTCCGAAAGGCCAGAAAATCAAGCACAAAAATAAAAGATAAAATTGTTTGAAAACGGAGTTACAACAACATCCAACCCTCCGTCCACCCCCTTTTAGCTCCAACTGTGTTTTCTTTCCCTATATTTCAAGTCCTATATTTTCACCGATTAAACCTAAAAACCTCCATATACTGCTTCGCCAAATCCGCCCCAGCAATCCTCGCATTGGTCTCTCGATCCCCTAATTTCCCCAACCGCCTCGCTTCCCTCGCCTCTTTGCCCAAATGCGGCACACGAATGACCTCCCGGGCTCCCTCCACCGCAAACCGACTCCATAGCTCCCTAATAAGAACCTCCGCTACTTCCCAATCTTCCTCTGTCGGGATTTCTTCTACCGAGGATGGTGAGGAGAAGGAGAAGGAGGAGGAGGAGGTCGGTAGCGACAACGACGACGACGATAATGTCGACATCGACGTCTCGAGTTGCGGGTATAGGATCCCTTCGTCATCACGGCTGCCATCAGGGTTGACATTGCCATCCGCAACAGACGACGGCCATGTCTCGCTTCCATCGGCCATCGGGATATTATTATCAGCGCCTGGCGCAGTGGCAGTGGCAGTCGCGGCGGCGGTGTGGGGGGTAGCAGTGCCGGCGGGCCCACGATATTCGATCTCGACAATGGTGCCGCGCACACGGGTTTGGGGCGCGGTCTGCCGCACGTCGCCGATGCGGATGCGGAAGTCGTTGATTTCGTAGTGGCTGCCGTTCAGAACTGTGAGGGTGTGGCGTGGGCACCAGAGCGGCTCACAGGCACGGAGGGTGATGGCGTGGAAGGATTGGTAGGAGGGATAGTCGAGGATCATCATTGTTTTGGGCCCGGAGGGAGATGGGTCCGGCGCTTGAGGGGTTGGGTTTTGTTGTGACTGTTGGTGTTGTTGGGGAGTTTGTTGATATTGTTGTTGTTGCTGCTGCTGCGCATGACCTGCATGCTTTGCGCTGGAAGATGTCGAATCCCATGGGTCTGGATCGGGGCGGTCAGAAATATATATGAAGCCGTATGGCTGGCGGTGACTGAGGGAGAGAAATTGCATGAAGCGGGGTTGCAGCGGGGGTAGAGGTGCGTAATCGCTCGGTGGTAGACATGAAGGGGTATCACGTAGCAATCGGTGTTCTAGAGCCCAGCGTCCGCAGAAGGTCGGATTATATGCATCTCGAAGTCGCTCAATTACTGCCTTAGTTGCCGTTGGCGAGTTTTGGTTCGCTGGGATGAAATATAAGCTGTGCAATACGGTTGTTAAGACGCTGATTTATAAGGGGATCCAAGAGAGATTTGACTGAGGTACGTACCCAGTGACCGGCATGGCTCTGGACCATCTACTAGACGGCTAAGAAGGCTATGTTATGTCTTCGACCTGAAAGCGGCCGCACAATGAGAAGTATATACGTAGTATATAGCAGTAAACCGTGTTCTTGTAAATCACGACACATAACAGAGACCAAAAAAAAAAATCAAATATCGAATCAATAGAAGAACGGGACTAGTCAATGTCAGATTTCATCTAAAATAAGTCTTAGGTGGTCATATATTATATATGGATCTCTTCACAGGGAAGATCAAAAGGTCATACGAGGCAGCTGTGTCAAGGCTGTTTCAACGAGGCCATATCCAATGAATCTTTTCAGTGAATAACAGCCGGTGTTCAGCCGTTCAAAGTTGTGGCCGCAGCGGAGGGTGAAGAATACAAGTCCAACAGTCTCATCGATCACATCAAGCGTTGCGCATATGGATATCGGCAGGATTCAACCTGCTAAGTATTGACTAACGCTTTCTTTGTCCTATCGAGTTGTTTCGTTTCTATATAGGAAACGAAAGAGTTTGAAATCTTCACGTGATTTCGGATGGCGGATGACTAATCAGTCCGGCGGAGAATTTTATTAGGCCACTAGGGCAAAAGAACTCAATCACCACCAGCGCCGTGGTGGAATATATATAAGAGGATACGAATCACCCAATCCAATCCCCCCAACAAATTTGATGCAAGTACTAGTCTGCAGTACATACGTCGGGGATAATAGTAAATAGTACGGTGGGGTTCGTGTCCGGAACAGTCCAGTCCACCTTGTTATTATCAGAAATCTGCACCTCGGCAAGCGTCAGAATGGTGCGACAGTTGGCCTGGAAAATATTCTTTACCGGATTCCGGAATGCTTCGCGTCCCAAAACTGGACCTATCTTGGCTCTCAATCTGAAGCTTCCAAGGATGTTTTATCTATCAAAGCAGTACCTGTAATATACCATCAGATAAGATGGTACTGCAGCAAGAAAAGTATCAAAATAATGATAAAATAACCCTAAGAACAAGAAATCAAGAAATCTCATTTCGACAACGGCAAGGTGATGCTTGCAATGTATCCAATAACAAGCATAGCAGCCCGTTTGCTTCTAAACAATGGCATGAATGATGTTTTGTTTGTTTTTAGATGTAGGGAAGCTTGCAGCTAAAAATCCCATCCCCTGTCTGTTCTGTGAATGCCTCAAAAGTTCCCTCCCTTGGCTGTTGATACTCATTATTGATAATACTTCATCATTCGTGGAATCCATAATGAGCAGAGCCTAGACTCTTTATTTGTTAGAAGTACGGAGTAGTTACTACGCAATGAATGTAATTACAAAGTGTGGAGATATGGAATGATTCGTAGGGTTTTGTATTAGTATTTACACTAGAAAGATTGATAATTGTCCTTTGTTTTACCTGATTTTTTTTTTTTTATTTTCGCGTGTTACACCCCTACAGACAGCCACAAGTTTGCCGGCTTTTCCTTCTTTGATTATGATTCAGCCCGTGTTCTCGACCCCCTGGACGAGGCTGTGTGCCCTCCGATGTCGCATCAGCTATTTTACCAGTCAAAGAGGTTGGGCTATGTTTTGATCTCACATGCTTGCTAGCCACAGCCAAACAAGCCAATCCATACTCCCCTAATAGGGACGAGCCACCAATGCAAGTTGGATATGCTAGTGATGGCAATCGCTTCGCCAGCATTCATGTTACCATTGTGGGATTACCTTTAGGGTGTCCCAACAGATCGTTTGTTCGCGCCGTGGCACCACCCACTGGCAGCCCGTTGGCGGCCAATGCAAACGGGAAGAAGACCCAGAGGAGCGATGTATCCAGACACACCAACTTTTGATAAAGACATCTCCACTACTCCGTACAAGAGACCAGGCTGCGGGCGGTAGTTGGTTTTCCCCTCATTAACACATGTATTAGTTATAGAAGAAGCAGAAGAAGCAGAGTTGGGTTTTTATGTAGCTAATGGATGGAAAATCCGTTACCATACCAGGCTATTCTGTATATAGACTAGTGGGCGTGTCCCGACGCTGAGGGGCTAGTAGAAGCGATCGGTGGATGATCTAATCTGATCCGCTGATTGATTACGGGAAAGGCTCTTGGCAGATTATCATGCCTTACCCCCTGTATCAAAAAAAACCTTGCCATCTTGCAGGTCGCCCAGGTCTTGCGCTGTGCCCTGCAATTGAGAACAATCCCTGGAACATTCTCTGATGCTTCTGATGCTGGCTTCCTGGTTGAAACTAGGCCAAATAGTTGGATCTGCTTTATGTTGGCGGTTTGATGAGAGATGCGAGAGCTTCTTTTGTTCATCCCTGGTGTACCGAAACGGTCCTGTAAATTATACACTTGCGATACGGCCTGTATTTTCCGAGTCAACCCACTTTTTTTCGCGCTGTTGCCGATGTTCCTCTTTTCGCCTCATCCCCAATTTAATCTCCTTCGATCCTGCTTCCATGACTGCTCCTCGCGCGAAGCAATGTCTCCTTTCAGTCCCTATCTACGACTCGAATCCTCTCTTCACTTCCTCCTCTCTCAATGATATTCGTCGGTTTCTTATTTTTTAATACCCCTTGTCGTGACGTTTCTTCTCTGTTCCGCCATACCCTTGATACGATTCAAAGCAATTGTATTTGGGGAGATTGGGCAACACACGTTTCAATCTAAACCCGCTTTACTGAGCAGGCGCTACAACCGTATAGAGGTACGCCACCCATTTGGTGACCTTCATTCCTCAAGTCTTCTCTGGAGGTTTGGGTTTGCGGGCCATCTTTCTTGGAACGAAGCTAACATCAAGTCGAGGCATCTGGTAATTGCAGCTTTTCCCCTTTTGACAGCTGGGATGGCGGCATCAATGACTCGGCAGGTGGATACTATCACCGTTTCCAGCACATCTCGCGCAGGCAATCCGGTCCCAGAAGAACCGACATCCTTGCCACATCTTAAAATAATGCACCCAGCAACCAATGCCTCCTCGCCAGACTCGCATTCATCCTCTGTATCTACGCCCGGAACAGGAGAGCCAATTAGTGACATGGAGACCCCCTCAACTCCATGGAACGAACCATTTCCGGATGATCTCACAGATGGGATCCTGGACCTTACGCTCAGCTCGAAATCTCCCCCGTCGACTACGAAACGCCGGAGACGGGCCTCTACTGTCTTGATATCGCAAAGCTCTGAAGATGTCGAGAAAATACTAGGAAGCGGCCAAGGCGGTACACATGTCCTCGAGAAAATCTGCTGTGGTGGAGGATGCTGTAAACTTCAGCCTCTGCAAAAACCTGCATCGTCGTCCTCGATCCACCTTGTCATCAAACCAAAGAATCAGGCCTTCGAAAGCCTGAAATTGCACCTAGGGCCAGTTATCGCATGACAGTGTCCTGACAAACATTATCCCCCTCCCCGAGAAAACTGTGTCGTTTTCTCCCGTACCAACAGAGTTGGCCGATAGGGAAGAAGGGCCTGCGGATCATCCACCTCAATTCGTCCAACCACACCCCCCGTATGAGGTGTTCCGTGCACCCCTCTACCACGCTCGAGAGTTGACCAAGCCTGGTGCGGAAAAGAGGACTTACCATTTTGATATAGATGTTACAGACTACCCCCTTGAGGGTGGTGATGTCGACTTCGTGGTTGGGGGTGCGATTGGCATCTGTCCCCAAAATTCAGACGAGGTGGTAGACGAGGTTTTCAACCTACTTAGCATTCCGAAAATGGTCCGAGATAAGAGGGTAATGGTCAACACCACCACCGGTCGATGGCCTACTGTCTGGGGAGATGAGAAGCCACGAAGCCTGTTAACTACTAGGCGCGAATTGCTTTCGTGGTGCTCTGACCTACAGAGCTATCCACCGACAAAACAAATGTTCCGACTTCTGGCAGAGTACGCCACGGATCGGGACGAGAAAAAAATATTGATGTTCCTCTCATCGGCGCAGGGCCAAGGGGCGTTCTGCGACCTTCGAACTGGCCAACATACCACAGTGCCTCAAGTTCTATCTGCATTCCCCTCAGCCCAACCCCTCTTGATTACCTGCTCTCTATCCTCAATACTCTGATGCCACGATTTTATTCCCTTTCTCAGGATCCTCTAGCTTCATGCACCCTCCGTGACGGCAAATGCAGGAGGCTGATAGAGATCGCTGTCACTATCCACGAATCCCCTGATTGGCATGGAGGAAGAAGAACTGGTGTGGGCTCCGGGTTCTTGGAACGCAAAGCAAAGCAACTTCTTCGCGCTGAGGAATTAGGCGATGACATTTCGTCTTTAAACCTGCACATCCCGATGTTCCGTGGTTTGATGGCCAACCCTCTCGCACGCGAATTTGTTTCGGATGGGCCCATGCTACTCATTGGTGCAGGGGTTGGAGTTGCCCCATTCCGTGGATTCGTGCAGCGGCGTTTGAGGTCTGCTAACTGCGCCAACAAAGTGTGGGTCCTCCAGGGAATCCGTGACTCATTGCTCGACGAGCTTTATTCTGGTGAATGGGGCGTCCATGAGGACACCGTGAAGAGGGTCGTCCAGAGTCGGCGTGGCGAGGGCAAGTATGTGCAAGAAGAGGTGCGCAACCAAGCTGACCTCGTATGGTTCGTTATCAACTCTCTTGATGGGCGTGTTTTCGTCTGCGGGAGCAGCAAGGGCATGGGCGAAGGTGTCGAGGCTGCATTGGTAGATGTTGCCGTGGCCAAGGGGAATCTCAATCGTGAAGAAGCGAAGCTCTTCTGGCAAGGGAAGAAGGATGCTGGCCAATATATCGCGGTATGTACTCACTCACTTTGCAGCCTTTCCCTATTTTTGAAAACTTATGCCACATCAACAGATTTCACAATTCGAGAAATGTGAATGCTGACATTCTTCCCCCTATCCAGGAGACATGGTAGAAACATCAGGGTACATATTTACGCGCACTTCTATCCTCCATTGACTATT